GCTCATTGCAACTCCTGCCTCCTGGCCTCAAGCAATCCTCCCACCTCAGCCTCCCGAGTGACTGAAACTAAGGTGTCAGCCACCACGCCCAGCTAATTTTTTTTTTGTATTTTTTGTAGGGACAAGGTCTTGCTATGTTGCCCAGGCTGGTCTTAACTCCTGGGCTCAAGCAATCTGCCCACCTCAGCCTCTCAAAGTGCTGGGATTACAGGTGTTTCAGAGTGGTTTCTAATGAGCAGGGCACTGGGAGCGGCCAGGAGCATCCTGAACGCTGCTTCTCCGTCAGTGGGGCCCTGGCTCTTGGCCACAACACGCGCCCAGGGGAGACCAATGAGGCTGCTCCACCCAGTACAGCCACTGCCCAGGGCTGGCAGAGGGCAAGGGGCAGCAGGTGGGTCTAGGGAGAGCCCTTGGCTGGGGGTGTCAGAAGGTTTGGACGCTCCGGTGTCTCCTGGAGTCCCCTCATGCACCGCTTGCTGACAGTGTTGTTCTCAGGGCCCTGACAGAGGAGGGGACTGGAGGTGAGGGCAGCAGGCCTCAGGTTGCTCCCTGGCTGAGGGTGCTCAAGAGAGAGCACTGGGCAGGGATTCAGCCCTCCTGGCTCCGGGTGTCCCTGCCAACTCGCTGTGGCTTTGGGCAAGTCTTCCATGGCCTCCAGGCGTCAGTTTCCCAACTGAGGAGCTGGATCAAGGCCAGCAGCAGACACATGCATCAGGGGTCCCAGGAGAGCCTGGGGTGGAATGCCAGGCAAGGGGTGGGGTGTGGCTCAGATCCAGGCTGGGCCCCTGGAGTGCTGCTGGAATGCCCTGGGGTGACCCCTAAATGACCTTCTGCCAATACCCTGCCTCTGGGGGAGCTGCCTCAGGGATTCTGATTCCCTTGGCCTGGGGTGGGTCTGGAAAGCTGGGGTTTTAAGACATTTCAGGCGATTCTGATGCCCAGCAGCTGGAACCCGTGCCCACCAGCAGCTCACCCGTGGGGAGCACGTGTCCCTGGAGCAGGCAGGCACTGGCCCCTGCAATGCCACACTCACAGCTGTAGGGCCCGTTTGCTGCCTATAAATCTGTTGTTCAATTGACAAAACACTAAGGACCAGAGATGGCAGCCACAGCACCCTGGAGGTGCCGACATCAGTGAGGTGGCCACATGCAAAGCAAAGGCGCAAAGCCTGGGGACTTCCCAATGAGTCGAAAACATCCAGGGGAAAGGGAGCCCTGTGTCCCCAGCCCATAGATGAGGGCAGGATGGAGATGTGGAAAAACAGAAACCTTCCCCAAGGGCAGGGCAGGAACCCCAGCTTCTCCCTCACAGCTGGGTCCGTGTGCAGAGGGCGGGCTCCCTGCATGTCGGTGCACAGATTTAATGCAAAGCCTAACTCATTTAAAAATTTAACGTCGGCCGGGCACAGTGGCTCACGCCTGTAATCCCAGC